GTTAAGTAACATGTATATCATTTCAAGAATATACATGGGGGAGTGTGTCCGAAAGATAAGATACTCTATTCATATTAACTATGTTAAATTATGCATGCTATGACGTAACGCAGCGGGGAGTTGCATGCAATGGGATTATATTGAAACTGTGATTCTGAGAGAAAAGTAACTTTGTATTTCGAGTGATTAAACCTTTAAAACTAGTGATTTGTTGTGAAAACGTTCTTCAAACAAGAATTTCCAACAGGGGTTTAGTTTTGCGTTAAGATTTATATTACGATGATATAATGTTATAATGTTATATCATATGTTATAAAACAGCAACCTTATTTTCAAGTATACTTTCTAGCAATCACCTATGATGAAGGCCTATGATTCGTTGAAGCCGGCTATAAATACAATATACTATAAAACATTTTGACCGCAGTCCCAAAACTTAGTTTGTATTAAACCCCAGGTATTGTTATTTATCCTGAGCTTTTAGTCCTTGTTTTATTGCTTCTAAAACATGAATAAATTGACTTTTTGAAGTGACGTTATTTTTGTCATCACGTCTTTGTTGGGCATTTAAGAGCACTTTGAATATGACAGCCAAGCTAGCTTTGATAATGCTTATTTTAACTATTAAAAGTAGCCTAAGTCGTGGGTACTTGAAATTAAATTTGCACATGTATCCAATATTTTGCAACATAATTTGTATCATAAATTCTCTTAACTCCTTTTGAAAAGTCTCATAACTCCGAAAAATCAAACATTTTCGTGTCGTTTTTTGAAAAATTGTGTTTTGTGCAGTAATATTTTAGCAGTTGAACGATGTTTGTTTATTGTAAGTACGGTAAGTAAAAAGATTAAATGTCTTAGTATGCTCTAAAAGTATAAAAGGAAATAATTAAAGGGTAAAATTTACCGATATAAAAAGTGTATTTTTCAAAACAAATTGGCAAAAAAACGACTGGCATTACCTACAAAGCACGGATTCAATCCCCCCCCCTGAGTTAGCCTTCCAGTTTACTTATAGTTCAATGATCTCAGTAGGTTAGTCACCGAAAAATGTTCTTTAAAGTTTAGATTTATGGGCTAAATCCACTGGCTAAATCTTGTCCGCCATTGTTATTGTAACGTAAGCAGTTTCGCGGGTAAACTCGACGAAAGGCAGGAGAGTTCGGGCAAAAAGCAGGTGAGCTCGACGACAAGCTAGCCCACTTGCTCTAAACCAATCAGAAAGCTGCTTTTAACACAGGCATGGGATAGTACGTAGAGGTGAGTTTTTTGTTTTTTTCATTAAAATAAAGCACATAGAAACCAAAATAATATACCTACTTTATATATTTTAGAAATTGATAGTTCTGTATTTAAAAGTGTTCAACTTTCATCTATTTTTTGAAGGTTTGTACAAAAAATTTATATAATCTATCGTGTTGACATGACTATAACATGACGTGAACAACGCGAGCCTGCGTTCAGTGTTGGCGTAATAACGAATACTTCATGTTAAAACAATGTTTGGAGAATAATAGGCGAGGGGTTGTTGCATGCATGTATTTCTAGTTATTTATCATACCTGTCCAAGGGGAACAGAATCCGTTATGCCTTGTCTAAAATGAAGTATCCCACCAATGATTGCAAAGCATCCAGTGACGCCACAGGAGAAATGTTGAATAGTTTCAGATGATGGCTGACATGACCAACCCTCGCCTATTGGATTATTCTCTGTAATTCCTAGTCTAACACAAAATTGTTCGTTTGTTTTGACAACGAACCCTTTTCCAGGCACCGAGAAGTCAAGAAATTTATAACTATCACCAATTTTTGTCCAGGGAGCATGGTCACTACCAAACGCTAAATATTCTTGTTCTAGAATGAAAAAAGTTCATTGTACAAACTCTGCATTGACCTTAGGCCTACAAGCGTGATATCTCACCGCTTGGCAACAACATATCAGCAACGAAGTAAGCAACTTGACCAACGTAACACATGCAATGCAACGTAATGTCCAAGTTGACCGACGTAATTGTGAATATTTACAACAAATATGGGAACCGCGCTTTAAAAAGTTACCTGACTTTAAATTGATTAATTTGGTCTAATTCGGAGAATCTTTTGTATATGACATAACACGCGCCTAAAACTAATGACTAGACTACATCTTCCCCGTTTAATGAACTTCTGTATCCGATTTACAAACATTGATTAAATAATCCTTTCTTTTTAATTAACAATATTTAACTATTATTTTGTGTTTTTCAATCGCCAGATGCATTTAAAAATGTTGCTAACTGTTTAATTAAAATACAAAATAAAGCAAAAACAAAGTAATTTTGAGAGGAACGCCAAAACGATTTTAGTTTTTGAACATTTTTCATCTCAAATACACAACATTAAAGAAAGTCGCCTCTTAATTTGTTATAATTAGTTAATTCGTTCTAATGAGTTTTTTGTATTGTTTGAAATTCTGGAAATACAATACGTACGATAACTATAAGGAATTACCATATTTTTTACATATATCTAAGCAAACATAAACCAACGAATTCCCCAAAACATTTATTTCATTATGGAGAAACCTACCTACGACATACAATGCAAATAAAGAATTTATTCCCCATACAGCATGTGGTGCTACGGATAATATATTTAGTCCTCCATTCAAGTTCTGTTCCTTTCCTGTGCTATCCAGCATGAACATATTAGGAATAGAATTTTTCTTTGCAAACATTATCAAAGGACTCAGTCCACTGCTAACATCAAGTGCACGGTTTAATGTCAGTCTCCACCATTTACGAGTTTCTACAAAAAAGGTAACAAATAGCGTTAGACGACGTCACACTAGAACACGTGATCTAGAAACGTGTTATAGAACATTGTTTCATAGCTAAATTTCCTGTACGTGGGCAAAATCAGGAAGCAATTTTCTTAGCTATCTTTCCTGCAGGTGAGCTGAGGACAAACCAAGGAAACATTGATTTTGCTGTTTCAAATCTGTATTTCCTGAAGATGGGCTAGATCAGAAAAAATGACTTCCTAGTCATGTTTCTAGAAGGTAAGCAAAGCAGAAAACATTTTTTCTTAAACACATTAATTGAAAGTGCGTACACCAGGAAACATTATTTACCACACACGCCGTACGAGAGTGTGGGGCTGTGATGCTACATACAAGATTCAACTTTGCCATCGGGCAGTTTGTACGTGAAATACTGGCAGATTGTACTGAAAAGTAATAGGGAAAATTTGCTTTAAAATGATTATAGGGAAGTGTGGTCCGCATCAATTAAACTGGTGGAGGGAGAATGAAATACGCACGTTCTCAAAAATGTGTTAAATTAATGTATGTTTCGAAAATTTCTCTTTCGCCGAAAATTTTTACCTTTCTCCCAGCGCACCAAGGCTCGCGGCGGACTTGCGTTGGAAAATTGAAAGTTTTGCATTTTGCACAGAACTGGTCAATTAATACGAGCCAGCACAAGTGGTAGAAGTTTCATCAAATTTGACCATGTGCCAGGAGACCTTGTTTCTTAGTAGAGTCCTACTGAGTAACTCGGCCACTTACCAACATACACATACCTGTCGTCGTATTACAAATAGACCTGTCATTCGAAGCACCAAAGATCTTCCATTTGCACTGGCTTTCGTGCACAGTAGTATCACTACCAGATATCATTTGTAATGTACTATCATCGAGGCAGACATTTGTATCGCCTCTTATAAAATTGAAAATACAAGTAAAATGTTGTTGTTTTGACAAAAAATCACACTCCTGCATACGAAAATTAGGTTGAGTTGAAAACCCCTCCAGACAATGTCCAGAACCAATGTTTTGTAAAATGAGATGTTCGATCCAGCGCCATTCTTGGTTAGGGTCGTCAGGATCACATGCTTTCCCAACTGCGGGGTTCCCAGCGCCATCATGGGTGAGACATTTCCTATACAACGAGTTTTCTAGCTGTATGCTGTCACTTGCATCTACAAGGATAAGAACATCTCCGGTCAGGCTAAGCATTACAGTCAGAATTGACAAATATGGAGGTATGAATGCATAGCCAAGATATCCAGCAACAAAAGGTAGTCATAAGCCAGCTACACTGCAAACTCGTTCCAGGGCTTTTCTCTCCTTTGGGGCTGGTCACGAAGCTGGTCACGTGACCCATAGAAAATTGACAGCCTAAGGAGTTGAGGGAAAGTCTCATATTGCATGCTTCCACTTCCGCACTTTACACTTGAGTGACTTGACTGTTCTGTAGAATCATCTTTGAAGATCATATATTGTTACATCTCGATCGATGCGGTAAACCGTGCAAATTCAAAAGCGAGAAACGTGTGTTTTTATCCTATACATAACTTTATTTCACCAAACACAGACAGCAGCATTTGCTACAAGTCTCGAATCTCACTCAAGATATGTCAATTTACCCCGCGAGACCCGCGATGTCACGGGGCCAGGTTAAATCAGCGGTTTTCCTGCTCAAGAGAGAAACCCGGGAACGAGGTTGCCTAACTCCCCCTCCCTGCTATGCACGTGATAAAAATACCAGATAGGAGGATACAAACATTTGACAGATTTGAGGCTCTCGGGAAAACAAAATTCTCGTGATTAGTAGTGGAGTGTGTCATTATCCTTACCGGCCCTTGGTAAGCACTGCATAAGCCACGTGAATAATAATATAACTTGCATCAACATCTGTAATCGACAAAACAAATCATATACATACACAAAAGTCTCACATCTTGTAGCAAGTCTGCCAACAAGTTGTCAACAAGTTGTCCTCACACTACTTGTCAAAAGTTTTTTTGTTTTTTTTTTTATATAAACAATATTTATTAATGTCAAAAATTGGCAATTGCGCCAAAAGCCACTACAGGCTTAACTGGGGCGCTCTTTGACGTTACACATTTACAAAAAAAAACCAGCTAATAAAGCAAGCACAAATTTTGGACAAACACGCAATTAACATACACATATTGGGCAAGGTAGTGAAGGGCTGCTATGGGTGAAACGATCTGAATCAATAATGAATTTTTGACACTTAAGAATAAATTAAAATTCGTATAAATGGAAACATTCCCGATCCCACAAAGTAATCACTTAAGACATGTACCCTTACCAGCACCTGACCACGCTGCACCGAATAAGGAAGCAGCAGATGTGAGCAAAGTATTCCGAATAGCAGCATATCGGTCACAGTCGAAAAAGAAATGAGCTTGGAACAAGTTTGGAAAAAACTGTCGACAACTTGTAAAAACCTTGTTCATATAATCAGACTTGTTGCAAGTTTGTTTCAACAAGTCCAAAACAGTCATGATATTGTATAACAATATTGTTACAACCTTGTGTCATCAGTCTTGTAACATTCTTGTGATATCATGACTTGTTAGAACAACTTTGCTATAAGTCTGACAATGCCATCAGGCTTGTTACAAGTCGTTAACAGCTTGTTCCAAACTTGTTAAAACGACTGGGAACAAGCAGTGCGAACACAACTTGTTGGCTCCTTGTGAACAGATTTGTAACAACTTGTTTGCAGACCTGTAACAACTTGCGCGTTTACACGTGTGTAGTATAAGCATAACACGTGAAGTAAGCCAGAAAATAAAACAAAATATAAGCATATACAAAAGTAAGTCACCAAATAAAACAGTATATCAGTGTTAGGTAAACTCAGATATATGTTTAATCGTTTCCTGAATTAAATCACAGCTTTTACAAAATGTTACTTGGTGGCGAAGTGGTTAGCGCACTTGCCTTTCACCTCTTAAGGTCACAGGATCAAATCTCAATGAGAATTTCTCAATGTGACTCGAAATCAGTCCTCCTCAAGTGAAAAGAGTAAAAAGTCAACGCTCTGCCGAAAGTCGTGGGTTTTCTCCGAGCACTCCGATTTCCTCCCACAGGGAAAGTCGACTGGGTGGGTTATGCACAGAGGTTAAGGGGCAGATCATTAATGAGGAATGGACTAATAGCGGCTGCTTAAAGCGCCATTTGTAAGCTGACAGTGACACAGTCTACCTTGGTCTGCTTCACGCCAGTTCCGGCTGTAATTGTAATGCGCACTTGATCATATACATATGTAAAATCGCGCAATGGAAATATTAAATATTATTATGTTACCATCTCATATATTTTTGTTTTTGTAATTGCCTTTCCAAATCCCCCCACTCCCCCCCCACTCCACTCCCCCAACTCCCCCCACCCACCCCAGCTTGTCGTAGTAGGAGGACTACACACATACACCCTGAATATCTCCTAAAATATTATAAACTTCAAGTAATGGCTGTCTCCTGGTAAAATGGAGTACCTAAAGACAACCTGCGCACTATTTGATAAGTTAAATACGAATCACTCTTCTCACAAGTTGCTGCCTGTAGTTTGTTTCTGAACTACTAGAAACAGACTAAGAATCCAAAGACAAACATGGCACTGTTGCAATGTTAATTTCAGAGAGCTAATTTAACTCCAGTGGAATTGGAGTTATCGTTCAAAACCACTCGACTTAGTCGACTGGGAGTTAAATCGACCCGCAGAAATTAACAGCAGGGCACCTTTTTTAGATAAGTCGCAAAATTCATTTCTAAATGTATATTGCGATTTGTGAACGAGAAAGTTTGCGAAATGTAGATTACGATGCAACTGTGTTTAAACATATAAACAATACATGTTTATGTTGGTCGTTAGGGGATACAGTTAATTTTGAAACATTTTCCGTTAAATGCAGTAGTCGTTGAAACACCTGAGATGCCGAATAACATCTGAGATGTCACCGTCGGTCATGTTTTTGTACATGTAATTACCTCAGGCAACATACAGTCTGAGGTAATGTATCTACCTGTAAAGGCCGGTTTACCGACGTCTATCAAAGTCTTTGTGGTCACAGTAGGAATTTTGCGTAGCCATGCAAGTAAATTCTGAAGGATTCGAAAGATATTTTTGAAGGAATTGACTTATTGTTTAACACTGAATGTACCGCAAAATCAGTTCTACTGTGTCACAGAAAACATTGATAGGGTAAACCAGCCTTAGATATTACAAAATTTGGTAGGAATATTCGCCATATTCTGCATTATTTTCTGCCCCGGTCAGATAAGAGTTGGCAGTCCTGGTGTATTTATAAGTCAACTTTTCCCTTATATTACCATGCGCTACACTTTTATGCACTATAAACAATAAATTAACTGCGTACTAAATGTTTCTGCCGCTAAACATGCGCTGTTTCCACTTCAACCCATAGCGTACCGTACCATATAGTGTTTTCATCACAAACGTGAAAAGCAAAGCCGTTTGGTTCCACCCTTATGCTCAGGAAATAAAGAAATGCACTACATTTCGGTTGCTGAAGTGGATAACAGGCTTTAATTAAACAGATTTATTTTCAACATTTCCATCACTTACAATGTTAAAAGATTATAAAGTGATTCCAACAGAATTATATATTCTTGATCACCGCCAGAGCCTTGAGACAGGATGTACTGTACGTAGTTTCTACATCATTCACATTTGAAAAGTTGACGAAAATTGCCCTGTTTTCGTGCAGATTTCAAAACATTATCAGCATTCTATAGAAATATTTATTGATTAATAATTCAGTTAAACCAAAACAATACCAGGTACAATGTGTGCCACCAGCAAATATTTTAAAATATTTTGATTAAATAACTGCATCGTTCTCACGCGACATTCGCAGTTTAACTTGCCGGGTTCCAACAGGGGACGGTTGTTCAAAGCTAGATTCGCGCTAACCCGGGGTTAAAATTTAACCTGCTGTTTTAGTTTCTGTATTTCTGCGCATTTATTTGTTCCAGAACTTCAGAGAAGAAAACTTGCATTGGTCCAGACAAGATTTCTGAAGAAAAGTTTACAAGTTTATATAAACAAGCCCTTGGGAAGTTTGTTTTGAATTTTAGGTTAACCTAGCTAATCAGTTTTTGAACAACCGGCCCCTGTGGTAGAACTGGTTCGATAAGGTTTGACTTCCACTGCACCTCTACGGAAATTTCAAAATAAATTATGCTTAGGTTAGGGTTTCCTCCCTGGACCGATATAAAGCGAACATCGAGACAGATTTCTGATACAATTCATGCTAAAATTAAATTAACGTGGATATCAGAGGAAAATTTGTATTGTCTTGTTTAATTAAATTTTAAAAAAACTATAAAAACTGCAGAGTTACAAATTCTTTTACAGTTTTTGGACCAGAAACTGGTCCCAACCGCGGCTAATCTTTTTCTTGTTATAGGTGATTTGCGACCAATCCCAAGTGATTCAAAGGACACATTTTCGCCATGTTGGATGATATTTGCATTGCAAACAAGCAAAATCCTTTGTCAATGTTATCCAACATGGCGACGCGGTGACGTAACTTGCACACCACCAATTGTGACACTCTTCGAAAACAAAACTAACGCTCCTTTATTTTGAGTCCGATTGTCATTAAATTTGGCACAATGTTGAAACGATATTTCTGATCAATTGATGAAGTCCTGTTTTTTATTTTCGATTTAGGGGCAACGTACATGCCATTCTTGTCGGTACGGGTAGAATATTAATATGCATATCATTAATATTCACAGGCAAACTGCAACCATAATATATAGGAAATCATGGACTAGCAACTAACCATTCAATTTTAATTAAATTGTTATTAATAATTATTTGTTATGGTTGGGGTTTGTCTGTTAAGGCCCGGTTGCACGGTGCAATTTTTCATGCAACTTGTCTCGCAATGTTTAAAAAAAAGATTTTGATAATATAATGCATTGCAGGAGGTGTTACACGCTTCAATGATTTTCATGCAACTCGCAACGATAGGGGACAGAGGAATGCGAAGAGACTAGGAAGAGGCGCTATTTTGCGCCAAATTTTAAGCGTGTACTGCATGGGGTGAGCCAATAGGAACTCTCCAAGCTATAAACATTGCGAGAAAAGTTGCACGAAGCCATGTTACACGCTGCAATGCTAAATATAATTAGTGCAATCGCTGCCAAAAGTAGAACCGATTTCTACTCTGT